GGGGGGGGGGGGGGGGGGGCATTTGACAAACAATCACACATACGTACTTCCAAGCCAGCGACCACATGCGTACACGCCCTGCCCTGTGGACGAACGTGAGTGAGGGCTTACCCCGCCACAGGAGGCCCAGCCTCTCCTTGAGCCTCCGCCACGTCTTCTCCGGCACAAACGAGGCCGCGAGGATGCCTCCCGCCACCAAGGCCTCGCCGACCAACAGCCCGAACGCCATGAGCTACGCCAGAAGGGGTCAGATCTCTGCAAGCTCGCCAAAGTGAAACCCTAGACCCACAAAACCCAATACCGTACACGCAGCGACAGTGAAGGGAGTCAGCGGTATGGGGTTGAGATCTGCTATCTACGACGAGCTTATTCTGTTCATCGACGGGCAGGGCAGCGATGCCAGCGAAATCGCGTTGAGATCTTTCTCGATGGGTTCCCTGCTGAGCTGCTGCTGCTTCTTGGCCCTCCTGTTTGGCTCACGTGTGGATGCCTGCAAACCAGCACACAGGTCAGTTTGTCGGAAGCGCCGGCCGCACACAAACAGGCAGAGTGCACACACACCGACATCAATCTCTCTCTCTCTGTGTGTGTGTGTGCAGCCGTCTGGTGATCCATCATTGTTCATCGGCCCCGCCCCCTTCACTGCGTCGCGGCCGCTCCCACTCGCCACTCTCGCCCGCCGCCCCTTTGCCACTCACAAGGCCCTCGGTGCCTCCCCCAAGGCTCCGACGGCCAGCCCTCGCAGCTCACGACAGGTGATCGAGAAATGGGTGGAGCTAGTGGAGGGCGGCAGCATCATCGCAGGACCATTTCCCATCTGTGTGACAGCCGGGACACCCGGCTATATCTTCGCCACGGATATGGTCCAGAAGCACCCCTTCTACCCGGTCAACTACATGGGCAATGCATCCTACAGTCTCGAGGAGCGCACCGTCGACCTTGGCCTTCCCGTGGGCGAGGCGTTCGCCGGCAAGGGCGACAGCTCCTTCGAGCCCATCCGCCTTATCGTCCAACGGCCGCCGAGTGAGTGAACGAGTGAGCGATGGAGGAGCAAGGCAGCCAGAGCGGGGAGGGGGGGAGGAGTGCATCGCTTGCTGACCCGCCCACGGCTGCATGGATGTGTGTGCCACGCCTTTAGGTAACAGGCGTCGGACTCCCCGATTCCTCGGCCTCCCCCTCTTTGGGCCTGTATACTACTAGATGGCAGTTTCCATGGGTGACCGACACACTCGCAAAGACAGAACTGGGCTGCCCCTGGCTGGACGGCTGGCTGGCTGGTCATCCGTCTGTGTGTTTGTGTGAATTCAGGTGCCCATTGTTGCGGTGGATGCAGTGGGTGTGCTGTCTGTCTGTATTGGAGGTTTGTTTCGACTGATGGAGACGTAGACATCAACTAAGCAGCTTCGCTGCCTCAGGAGCTCTTGTAGTATGTCATATGACCCGCGAGTTTTTGTGTACATATCGACGTCTTTGCTTGAGAGGGGTCAGAGGCTGGGCGGTTCGATGGCTCTTTCGACGTAGCTACGGGTGTGTGGCCGTGTGTAAGGGTGGAGACGGCCAGCCCTCAGATGCGTGACTTGTCTCGAATCCATTCGATCATTGGATGATCGATCCATAAAGTGAATCTGTGTGTGTCGGTCACACAAGTGGACAAACCCATCAATCACAAAAGGTGGTAAGGTACGCAGCGAGTGCACATCTACCGGTAGTCACCCACCACACGCAAGCAAGAAACGTGCAACGTGCAGTCACACGCCACACCCACATGCACCACGCCATCCGCCATATAGACGTGTGGACCATACCATACAGAGAGCTAATTCGCATTGTCCGACGTGTTTGTGTGAGTCCGCGTGGCGGCCGATGTGTTGTACTCGACCGCATACGCACTCCTATTGCTGCTGTTTGGCACCTGCCGGCTGTTGCCCTTACGCCTGCCCCCCTCACCCCCAATGTCCGACGCCCCCTGTCTCCCCCCACTGGGCTCCTCGTCCGTCATGGACACGGGCGCATAGGAGGCGTCCCTCTGCTGCCGCCTGCCGCCGGTGGTCATCTCGATCTGGCTGTCGTCGTCGTAGTCAATGTCGTCATGATGGCCGTCACCATGACCATCCGCATCCATGTCATGCTGGCCCATGCCTCCCTCCTCCACCCGCCATATGTCCTCATCGTCTCCCCAGTTGCACCTGTGGCTCTTGAAGGCGTATCTGTCCCACCCCACCGCCCTCCGCGTGGCCAGGCCGCCCTTGAGCCGCGTGCGCTCATCATCGCTGCCGGCCACCTCCGGCTCGATGACGCTCTCGCGGAGCGCCCGCATGGCGATCGACGACCGGGATGGCAGGTCCTGGCAGAAGTCGCGGAGGTCGTCTTGTCGGTTGCGCAGCCACCGCACTACCGGCCCTGTTGGGTGTGATGATGTGTATTGGGTGCCGTTGAGGGACGACGAGTGCATGTTGTGGTCCATGCTGGCGCCCAAGCCCTCCGGGTCGCTGTGGTAGTAATCTAGTGGTGCTGAGGGAATATTTAATGGATCAGAGAAACGACACACACACATGGAATGTGCCCGTGTCGTGTCTTGCGTTGCCGTATGTGATGGATGTTACTTGTGTCCTGGAAGTTGGTCCATATGGCGAAGATGGCCAGGCCGAGAAAGGCCGCCAGCAGTAGAATGCCTGCCGCCACCAAGATGCCGCGAAACACGTGCAGGATCGTGCTCCCTATCGACTCCTGCCAGCACACACACACACACACACAGAAAGATGAATCGTGGTGGTCACTCATCGTCGAAGTGTGTGTTTGTTTGCTGACCCCCTGTGTCTCCCACGGCGGGTGCTCGCGCACAGGGGCCCCGTGGGGCACGTTCGTATGCGATGGCCCTGCTGGCTGTGGCGGCCCATTATATGGCTGTGGCGGCTCCGGGACGCTATGCGCCGGCCTCTCCTTCATGAGTGTCACCGTCACGCCCTCCGTGTCCTCAGGCGCCACAATGGCATACCACACACTGTCGCCCGCCAGATCGGCCAGGGGCGGGGCCACCAAAAAGATTGAGTCTTCCTCTTCTCCGGCCCTTTGATAGCGCTCCAGGGGCGTCTGGTCGAAGGCCAGCAGGGTGGTGGCCTCGCTGCCACGGCACGTGAGAACCACGGTGCCCGGGGGCAGCTTCGTCAACGCGAGAAGGGGCGCCCTTAGTCGAGGAGGTTGGTGGCTGTTGGTGGATCTCATGGCCAGCTGCCGATGGTCCGTCGATATGAGAGGCCGTGTCGTGTCGTCTTCTCCCCGGCTCTCATAGTCCTCATCGGTTTCAGTGTCTGCCGCGTAGAGATGCAGCAGCGTCGGCAGCGACTGGCGAAGCCGTATGAGCATCCTGGCATTGCCGATGTCGTCAGAGTCCACCGACCAGGGGTAGACCTCCAGGTCGGAGACGGCCTGCGCAGAGGGGGCGGAGGGCTCGGACGCCGCCAAGGCGCCCAGAGGGATGAAGCCGTCCAGCGTGTGGCATGCCGACTCGCGAGACGCACCGATGTCATCAGTGTCAATGGCAATGTCATCACCCCCGCCTCCATGATGACCGTTGAGCCAGGTGGCGACACATGACACGAACACCGATCCGCTCTGCAGGTCCCCATGCTTAAGAAGAAGGCCAATAGTTGCGCTGCTGCTGCTGCTGCTGCTGCCGCTGGTGGTCTCGACAGTTGGGTGCTCGTCGAGCAGGGGTGGCCTGAATCGCATGTTCCTGAAGGTGTGCATCAGACACGACGCTGAGGGGGCCGGGGGGGCGGTCTGGTTGTGAGATGGGAGAGGGGGTGGAGTCGCAGTGCCCTCCTCCTGGTCGTCATGTGTTGGCGTGTGTGGGTGCTTGAGGCAGTCGGATGCGCGCTGGCCGGCACACACGGACGCGATGCGACTCAGCACGGAGGCAGTGAGGCCCCTAGCGGCCTCCTCGATGGTGCGATTGTTGCCGGCTGTCGCATTGCGAAGGGCCTGCACACCACCACACACACCCACACCCACATGGCCATGATGCGACCGACGCTTGGGTGTGTGGTGTGTGTGGTGCCTCGTGTTTTGTGTTGGGTTGGTTGCCTCACTGTCAGTCACCTGTTTGTGTTGGTCGATCATGCGTGTGGTGCAGTCCATGTAGGTCTCGGCAACGTCGTCTGTGTCGAGAAAGTCGCTCGCGTACTCCGTCGCAAAGTGACCCCGCACCAGACACATGGCATAGTCCGACTCTAGATAACCGAGAGAAACACACACACGTAGGCACAATCACACAAACACACGGCCGCTCTCTCCCTCTCTCCCCCTCTCTCTCTGACTGGCCACCATACCCTACCAAATGCGGCGCATGCGGCCCTCTTGGTGTCATTGGCGGGCTGCTGCTGCTGCTCTTGGTCGGTAGTGTGCGGCTTGATGGGCACTGTCGGCGTCAAAGTTAGCACGAACTGCTTGACACACTCGGGGCTGCTGGACCTGAGCTGGAAACGGCGCCCCTCTGCTCGGTCGATGCAGGCAGTCGCATGCTGCTGCACGCAACGCTCGACCGCTTTGCCAACTGATCACAGACAGACAGACAGACAGACAGTCGATGATGGATCGCGATGACGGCATGACCGACCGACCTTTCCCGGCCACTCTCACCCACCTCCGCTAGACCCCTGCAGACGGCCTTTCTTGTCATCACCGCGGTGGTGGGACTTATTGCCATGCTGCTGCTGCTGCTGCTGCTGTTGGTGCAAATCGGGTGGCGGCTTGAAACCGGCATGCAGTGTGCCCTTGAGGGATGCCGCCACACAGTCGCCCAGCTGCGGCTCTGACACGATGCACTGGCGAAAGGCGAAGACACCGCAGGGATCGGTGAAGGGGAAGGGCACGAAGGGCGGGGGCGAGAGCGGCTTTATGGGCATGGAGACGTCGATGGTGGTCTGGTGCTGCCGCTGGACCCAGTCGCAGTAGTTGGACCGATCTGGGCGGTGCGCCAGAACGGAGCGGACACAACGAACGCTTAACGTTGACTGACTCTTTGTGGTGTCTGTCTATGGTATGGGTGCGTGGTGTCTTGTGTGCTGTCCGTGTTCCTACCGTATGTCGACATGTTAGGTGTGTACCCGACGCCCAGCACCGACACGAATGGCATGCCGCCCGAAAGCACCACACGCACAGTACCTGCAGCGCATCATAACCATACATACGATCGATACACAAGACTCCATGTATTCCACTGAGAAGGAAGGCCATGCTGCCAACGAACGATTCTCTATCTCACCGTGGTCGTCATGGTTCTTCTCCTCGATGCCTTCCAACCGGATGTAGCTGCAGCCACACCACACACATCAAAACCAACACACGCCGTCAATGACCAGATCAGATCACCGAGGGAGGGATCCATGTGTCGGGTGGGTGGTTGAGTCTGTGTCCCGCCCGCACCTGGTCTGCCCGGCGTGAACGGCCACTTGCAGCGACTGCGATGCGCCATGCAGCAGCGACGTCACGTTGATCACATCATCACCCGCCGCCGCTGCCACTACCCCTCCCAATGCAATGAGCGCCGTCAGCGACCGCAGCAGCATCTTTAACGGCACAACTATCGTCAGATGCAGCTAGCACCGTCCTCGATGCGGTCATCTACCGCTTTTCCCGCTTCATCATCATCTCCTGCAAGCTTGACTGATGTTCAATTGCGAGCTTGACTGTTTTTCCCCATTCCGGAGGCAGAAGCAGTCGGAGACTGAGCAGAGGCCGTTGGAGATCTCAGCTTGGTCAGAGAGATCCAGCTGTCCTTTCATCGAGCGGCACCAATGGGTTGCAGCTGCTCCACCGACGACAGTGCCCTTGTCGCTGCCGATGCTGCCGGTGAGAGAGGCGCACCGCCAGTGAGGGCCAGAAAGGGGCGGACGGCATCGGCCGTGATCAAGAGGGCAGAGGCATCCGGAGTGCTCGCACTCATGGTGAGAGAGCGGGGCTCTCAGTTCTCTGCTATGAGTGGATGCGTTTCTCTCTGGTTGCTGCAGGATATGTCATTGACGGCCGTGCCCATAGCAGTTGAGCAGCTGACGGGTTTGCGGCACGCCGACCTCTCGTCCAACCGGCTCACGTCGGTGCCAGCCTGGCTCTTCACACACATGGGGAAGCTGCAGAAGCTCAATCTGCACCGGAACAGCCTGCACGAGCTGCCGTCGGCCTCTATGCTATTGCCGAGCCTCTTGCACCTCAACATCAGCAGCAACCGGCTCACAGCTTTGCCCGAGTCGATATGCGCCCTGACGAAGCTGAGAGACCTCAACGCGTCACACAACCTTATAGACTCCCTCCCGAGTGGGATCGACGCACTCGCTGCCCTGGAGGACCTGGATCTATCGCACAATCGGCTGACCGAGGACGCTCTCCCCTACCCCTCTTTCTTCTCTATGCCCGCTCTGATGCGGCTGAATCTCTCGCACAATGCTCTCAGGAGGCTGCCTGTGGCCTTCAGCGAGATGGCCCGGCTGGTCAAGTTGGATGTCAGCCACAACAAGATCGCGAGTGTGCCGCCCGAGGTGCTGCGGGACAGCCGGCTGAACGAGCTGTGGCTGCAGGGGAACGCCAAGGCGCTGGACAGGGTGTCGCTCAAGGAGACGGAGGGCATCGATGCCTTCCTGGAGAGGCGGAAGAGACGAATCGACAAGAAGATCGACTCAAAGATGGCCGACATTGACCTGAACCTCTGTGGGCTCGAGTGAATGCGGGAGGGGTGGGTGGGTGTTGCGCTGCATCAACGATGGACGGATGGATGGATGGACTGGAAGGATTCCCACCGATCGGACGATTGAAATCAAATGTTCACGACGGCACAGAGATTAGTGAGTCTCCTGCAAACTGCCCTCGGGAAGGTCACAGTCAGGCCATGCCGAGTGCAGCAAACAGACAAATGCACACCAAATGCAGCGCGGCACTCAATCATCGTGTCAGTCAAGTACTGGTCCTCCTGGGCCAATTGTGGCCTGCACACACACACGCACACACACGCATGCACATACACAGAGAGAGAGAGGGAGCACACACCCGAGCCACCCATCCCACGTGGAGCTAGCTGACTTACAGATGTTCCATATCTCGATGTCATCGGCAGCGAAGAAGTCGCTGGCGGCCAGTGAGCCGACGCCGTCCTTCCATATCCCCTGGTAGCCCTGCGGCAGGTCGTCCCGATCCAGCCTAGATATATATGGCATGCAATCACACAATAACCAACCGGTCGTCTCGTCTTTGCACTGGGTGTGGTGTACGTGTGCCCACTCACCACGTGTGGCACTGGGTGATGTCCTTTGACGGCCCCTGAGGGTCGCCAATGCCCCACCCGAGCCACAGGCGGCCGTCGCCCAGGAACATCTTCGCCGCAGGCTCATCGTCGGCATTGTTCGCGGCGCCCTGTCGGCCGCCCATGCAGACGCACTGCGCCGGGTCGTCGAGGGGGATCTTCGTTGGCCGGGCGTAGGCGCCCTTGAGCGACAAGAAGAAGATGCCTGTGTCGTAGTAGTTCTCCTTGGTGGGGTCTTCCGGCTCCTGCAGGCCGCCCATGACGAAGGCGCCGAATCGGTGGGTGTCGCCATGTCGAAAGAGGAAGAGCAGGCCTTCCTTGCCCTTGGTGCTGTCGAGCAGGGTGGTGTAAGCCGTGCCATCGCAAGAAGACCTGGCAGCAGGAGACAAGAGAGAAGGGGGGTTCCTTCTACCGTGGGTGTCTGTCTGTCAGTCTGTCTGTCTGTGTGGCGTACTTGTAGAGAAGTGTTGACCGAAATAGCATCGGGGGCAAGGATGACAGGTCTTCCTGCACCCCCACACACAGACACACACAGAGAGACAGAGAGAGAGAGACAGCAAGAGTGCCCAATCGATCCATCCATCCATTTCACTTTACCTGGTTGGCCTTCAGCTCTTCCCGGATCTCCTCCTTGATCATCTCGAGCACCCGTGTCCACTCCGTCTCGAGCTTGATGACCAGATCCAGCCCGTCGAAGCCCATCTCACCGCCGCCATCATTGCAGTAGACCTCACTCGGCTTGGAGCCGTACTTCTCCATCTCGCCCTGGAAGACGGTCACCTCTCGGGGTTTTACTGTGGGTGGCATCACCAACACATTTGCGCCCATGACGGCCTTCCGTCTGGCGAAGTCGACGATCTTTTGGATGTACTTGAACGGCAAATGGCGGGCAGGCGGCTCACTGCACACACACAACACCACAAACACACACACACACACACACCCATCAGCTAAGCGGCTTCCATTTCCCTCGTCATTGCATGGGCTCACGTGGCGAAGAGTTCCAGAAGGGGATGGCCGCTAGGACAGCACTTGAGCGTGCGGGGCAGGACGGACACTCGTCTGCCGGCGATGTGCACCGTCAGCAGCTTCGTGTCGTCGTCCTTGTCCTCCTTGTGCCGCAGAAACGGGTGGATCGCGTGGAGGAACGGCTGCATCGCCTTCTGGCGCCTCTCCAGCTCGTCGATGATCTTCCGACACTGCGCCAGCCACGCCGCCATCTGTGTCGCGGTCCTTTCCATGGCTTTGAAGGACAGCTCGTGACCGATATTGTCCTCCGCCCCTCCCTCTAGACCGCCCTCTCCCTCTCCCTCTCCCTCACGCTTGCGCTTCTTGGAGGAGGCTCCCGCTGCTCCCGCGGCTGCTGGTGGTGTGGACTCGCCGACGAGCTGCGAGACGTCCGATGAGCCGACTTTCTGGGTGAAGAGAGAGGGTGTGGTACTCAGACACAGAAGGGTCGTCAGCCTCAGGGGCGTCGAGGGTGATGGTGTGCTGGTGTCCGCTCTCGATGAGCAGCATCTCGGCCGCCAGCCACGAGAAATAGGCCGGTGCGACCTCGAGGTATGCGATCTTGCTCTCGTCTTTGGGCAGCATGTCGATGAACTTGAGGAGCAGTGTTGAGAGGAAGGTATTCTTGAGGGATGGGTGGCGCAGGGTGCGGGTGTTGAGGTGGATCACCTGGCCGCCTGACACACACACACACACACACGGGGCCGAGCCAATGACCATCCATCCATCCATCCATGTGTGTCGCACCACAGTTGAGCTGCACGCCCCTGTGCCGGGTCTCCCCCATCTTGCCCCCGTTGCCCTCCACCATCGCCTCAATTTCTTTGCTGAGGCTCTCGACATCACTCACGGCATGCCCACTGCCACTCATCGAAGCCAACTTCTGCGCCGCGTCGCGGATGTTCCCTGCCAGCGAACCGAACTTGTTGACCTGACACACCGCACCGACACACACACATGAAGCCGACCCATGCATGGGACGAAATCCAATGAGGTGTGCATTCATTGTCAAGCCATGCTGACCAGAAGTTGTTCGTCGAGGAGCGGCGTCGGTCTGCCGAACGGAGACCTTGACGGAGACGAGTCCGTCTCATGGCCCTGCTCATGGTCTCTTGCACCTGCACCAGCCGCAGCCGCCATTGTCCCTCAGAGCGATGATGGAGCAGACAGAAGAAAAGAGGCAGCGAATTCTCTTTCTGCTCGTCAAAGCAGCTCTGCCTCGTCGCCACTGTCTTCCTTCCCCTCGAGAGCAACTGCTGAGAGGTCTTCCTGCCGCGAGCTCCCAATGGGCGAGCTCATTCGGCGATCTTCGTTCTGTCGTCAGCAAGAACGCGAATGCGAATGTGACACGTCCACAGTCAGTAGCACTAGTGTGATGCTTGGAGGTTCGGGTGCGTTACTGGAGGGTTCTAAGGCATCGGAGCCGCCGCACCACATCGACACGGATGTGGTGCCGGACGAGCACGGCAACAATGAGGTGATTGAGGCGGACATTGTCCACGACGGCGGTGTGGTGGAGCCGGACTCGTTCGACAGTGTTGACAGTGGTGACAATGACGGCGAGGAGGAGGGATTGCTCGAGGGCGATGGGGAGGGGGAGGACAGGGAGGGGTTAGGAGCTGTCAGCGAGGCGTTGCTGGGCAAGCAGCACAGCGACGAGCTCAACACGGCACTAGCGGGCATCCCTCACGACGCCGCCCACATGGCGGACCCTCTGGATGAGGTCAGTGTGTGTGTGTGTGGGTGTGGGTGTGGGGACGACAGAACGACACTCAAATGGGCGTGTGTGGGGTGTGTGTTGTCAGGTCCATGTGGAGCACGTCGATTCGGAGGATGTCAAGATAGCCATGATCGGCAACGTCGACTCGGGTGGGTACACAACACAACACATACATCCATCCATCCATCCATCCATCCATTCATCCACAGGCACACTGTCCCCTCTCCCCTTGTGTGCTGTCCGTCTGTCAGGCAAGTCCACTTTGGTTGGTGTCCTCACCAAGCGAGTGCTCGACGGTACGCGCACACACACACAAGGGCTCATTCCTCTCTCTCCCTCTCTCTCTATCTCTGTGTGTGTCTGGTGCAGATGGCCGTGGTGCGGCCCGTTCTCGAGTGTTCAACTACGCCCACGAGTTGCAAAACGGCCGGACGAGCAGCATCGCTCAGGAGATCATGGGCTTCACCACCGACGGCAAGCAGGTGGTCCCCGAGCAGGCCCGCCAGAACTCCGCCCAGTCGCGCAACGCCACCTGGTCGCACATCGTCAACAACAGCAGCAAGATCGTGACCTTCCTGGACCTCTGTGGCCACGAGAAGTACCTCAAGACGACCATCTTCGGCCTGGTGGGGTGCTGCCCCGACTACGCCATGATAGTCATCGGAGCCAACATGGGGATCCAGAGGATGACGAGGGAACACCTTGGTACGCCCCATCATGTGGTGGTGGATGGATGGATGTGTGTGTGTGTGTGTGTGTGTGTGTGCAGGTATAGCGTTGGCATTGCGCGTGCCGGTGTTTATCGTCATCACGAAGATCGACATAGCCCCGGAGAACAAGTACAAGGAGTCGATGCAGCAGCTCTGCAAACTCCTCAAATCGAGCGCCGCCAAGAAGCTCCCCCTGGGTGCGTCTGATAGACAACAGAGAGGGAGGCGCCACAGCGGTGCTTCTTGTTGGCAAAAGTGTGTGTGTGTTGATATCTCTGTGTGTGTGTGTGTCAGTGATCCGTGAGGCCGACGATATCGTAGCTGCGGCATCGAGCATTGCGTCCGACAGGGTATACCCCAACCCTCTCCTGCCCCCCGTCGCAGTCATCACACAGAAGCATCCCTCTGTCTCTGTCTCTGTCTGTGTCTGTGTGTGTGTGCGTGTGAGTGAAGGTGTGCCCGATCTTCACCGTGTCCAACGTGACCGGGGAGGGCCTGGAGTTCCTGCGCGACTTCATGGTGCGCATCGTCAACCGAGTGGAGGACTGCGGGCTGTACAGGCCGCCCTCTGACCCCGCTGAGTTCCACATCGACGGCGTCTACCAGGTGTGTGTGTGCGTGTGCGTGTGGGTGTGGGTGGTCGCAGTGGATGGATGGATGGATGTGTGTGTGTGTGTGTGTGTGTGTGTAGGTGACGGGAGTGGGCATCGTTGTGGCGGGCACCATGAAGAGCGGGACGATCATGCAGAACAGCCAGGTGCACAGAGAGGGAGTGAGGGAGAGAGGCCACTGGATGTCTGTGTGGTGTGTGGTGTTTAGGTGCTGTTGGGCCCCGACAAGACGGGCAACTTCAGGCCGGTGCTGGTGCGGTCGATTCACTCCAAGCGCATCCCCGTCAGCAAGGCGAGCAGTCCGCCACACACACACCCACACACACACACACACCCACACCCACACACATTGGATGTCGTTGTCTGTCATCTCTGCAGGTGGTCTCAGGCCAGGCGGCCTCGTTTGCCCTGCGCTCTCTGGTCAAGAAGGAGCAGCTCAAGAGAAACCACTTCAGGAAGGTCCGTCATGTCATTGCCACAGGACCAGAGGGCCTTTGACGTGACGCCCACAGCGTTGAATGTTGTGTGTGCAGGGTATGGTGTTGTTGGATCGCTCTACGGTGCCCAAGGCCACGTGGGAGTTCGAGGCCGAGGTGGTCATACTCCACCATGCGACCACCATCAAGGAACGGTGCGCACACTCACACACACACAGATGCACCGGGGGGGATGGTTGTGTGTGGATGTGTGTGTGGATTGTGTGCAGGTACCAGGCGGTGATTCACTGCGGCGTGATCCGCCAGTCCGCCCAGGTCATCTCGCTCACAGGGGACCTCCTGCGGACAGGCGACAGGGGGTCCATCCGCTTCAGGTGCGCCCATCCATCCATCCATCCACCATCTGACACACACCTGCCACCATGTGTGTGTATGATTGTGTGGTTGTGTGTGTGTGTGTGTGTGTAGGTTCATGTATCACGCCGAGTACCTGGCGCTAGACCTGCCCCTGTTGTTCCGCGAGGGGCGCACCAAGGGACTCGGCAGGTAGGTAACACACACCCAACGACACTGCAGTGCACACACGACGCTTCACGACACGAGGGCTCTCTCTCTCTCTCTATCTTCGTGTGTGTGTGTGTGTGTGTGTAGGATATGCCGTCTCTACGACAGCAAGGGCGGCGAGTCCTGATACGCCATATGCCGTGGGGGCGTTGGGGCCGTGGGGGGGTGTGGTTCGTTTTGACCGGGCCGCCGGGCTGTACGTATGTATGTGTGTGTGTGTATGGTGGTGGGTGGATTGACCGATCGGACACTGACTGGCTGATTGATTGACTCTTGTCGTACCATAGCGGGGAGACGGGGGGGAGAGGG